CCATACACACACACACACACACACACACACATATATATATATACAATATATTATATGGGTACTCACCTCTCTCTGCTGGCCGGCGGGACATTGGTCAGTGTGACGTAGTTGGTGCGGACACTGCGCAGACTGGCCAAGATCTGGGCGAACGGCGTCACAATCAGGTCCTCCGCATGCCTGGAAGAATTAAAAAGTGTAAAGTTTTTCCGCTTAGATGTTTTATCCTGGGACCCCTTCCTCCCATCAGTCGAACTCTTCCTCCCACTTTGTCGGCCGTCGCGATTTTTCCCATTTTTGTTGAAGAGGGGGGACAGAAAATTCAGTTTCTGCATGGTGTGACTTGACGCACCGATGCTTCGGTTGTATCGTAGACTATCCAAACTTCTGTTCAGAGAACATTGTGATGGTGGGTAGGATATTCAGGGGGCTCAACGATTCCCACACCGAAGCAGGAAGCGATGTTATTTCCTTCAGAATTTCGAATTTGTTTCTCCTTCCTCATTTCCCCCACTTGTTTTGGGACCTCACACCAAAAACTTTCGAATGGAAGGACCAGTATTCTATTCTCAAAGTGTTGATGCGAACTGAACTCAAGACAAAGCCATTGGGAATCTGTCCACAAGATTCTTTTGACAATCTTTTCTCACACAACAAGTGAAGATGGTCTAGTGGTCAATTTGGACTTCAGTGAGTTAAGATTTTACACCCAAAACGAGCTATACGAGATACAAAATCAGTCTTGCCATTAAAATAAAAACACTAAATCATCAGAAATGGAAAGGATAAAAAACAACACCTGTCAAAAGATTTTTGTCTGTGCAAATGATCGTACTGCATGCAGAACCTCGCAGGCTTTTCATATCACATGACTACATTTACATTGCAAAAGACTAGAGCATGTTCATGTAACAATGACTCATGGTAGTAGGTATCTAGACCAATCTAACATCAATATAAGTCTAAAGTGAACAAAACAAAACAACAGGCTTGCTGCTTTGTGAAAATGTGCTTCGCAATAAGCTAACCCGACACGGTTTGCTTGGTTCAGCTGGAAGCCTAGGGATGTTTCACAAGAAAAAAAAGGTAATCGATAAAACAATAACTTATTGAATACATAGCCGACATACCACCCGCCTTTCACTCTGGTATCATTTTTATTTTATGGGTGTGTAGCGTTAACGCGTGTGGCATCCAAACTTAGCACATTGCAGCCGCTCAAATTGCGTCAGACGTGTTCGTGATATCACTAACAGGGCATTGCTCTCAGCGAATGTGGATTTGATGAGCGGCACACGGGCGACGGAATTCATATTATGTTAATGCCGTAGCTGCGACTGTCTCACTCGGAATGCTATAAATCTAACCAACGGTAATTCGCCTGTGGCCCGTATAAAACAATAAAAAACCTCAACAAAAACAAAACAAAACAAAAAAAGACTCAAAACCTTTTGTGAGTTACCCCATCGTCATCATGATGTCATAGCGCCTATTTCAACTGCTTTAAAGCGTCATGTCTACTCCCCCCCCCCTTCCTAACACAAGGCTTCCTGTCATGGCGATAGCCATTGTTTGAAGGCACTTGATAACGCCCCTCGTCCAGATAGACAGGACACCCGCCGCCTGAAACGCGGAGACCCAAACGATCACCATCCCCTTTCTTTTGTTTCCTTGTCTTGATTATTATTATTATATAAACTTGTACTTTCCCAAAGCGAGGACTGAAAAAGAAACAACAGTCACCACCCACACTCATCTCGTTTCTCTCGGGCTCGCTAGCGATAGCAGCACAGCCCTTATTAACCCCGAACACTTCAACAGAAATATGTAACCGTCGACTAACCGC